GGAAAACTCATCTATTAATGCTAGACTCACATAGTCAGTCCCATGACTGCTGAAACTCTTCACTAGGAAATATTTCATCACATCCCAGACAGAGCACACCATGGGCGTCCAGGGATTTTTTTCACCTTTATTTAACCAGGTAAGCCAGTTGAGAACAAGTTCTCATTTACAACTGCGACCTGGCCAAGATAAAGCAAAGCAGTGCGATAAAAACAACAACACAGAGTTACATATGGGGTAAAAAAACATAAAGTCAAAAAATACAACAGAAAATATATATACAGTGTGTGCAAATGTAGCAAGTTATGGAGGTAAGGCAATAAATAGGCTATAGTGCATGTCACGGTTTCGGCCGAGGGCTGCTCCTCCTCCTGGTTCGGGCAGGCTTCGGCGGTCGTCGTCCCCGGAGTACTAGCTGCCACCGATCTATGTTTCATGTTCGTTTGGTTTTGTCTTGATGTTGTACACCTGTGTCTTGTTAGTCCTCGTTAGTGTCCTATTTAGTTCTCGTTGGTTGTGTTTGTCTTTGTGTGTGATTGCTCTTCTGTTTTCGTGTTGGAGCTACGTACTTCCCTCCAGTGTTTTGGAGAGGTTTTTTCGCACATGTTAGTGCACCGTTTATTTGACGCCTGTGTGCGCCGTGATTTCGCCTTCGGGCTTATTGTGCTTATTTCTCTACGTGAATAATGCACTAAAGTCTTTTGGACTGAGCCTCTGCGTCCTGCGCTTGATTCATGCACCACACCCACCTTCAGCACCCCTGACAGAATCACACACCAGAATGGAATCAGCAGGATCTGCAGTTACGCCTGAGTCGCTCGAGGAGCATGTCCGTGGGCAAGATGACCAGATACGACAACTGGGGACCGCTCTACAGGACGTCATCAACACCTTGCACCGATGGGAGGCCAGCGGGGTACCCCACACCTCCACCTACCCTGCCAACCCCATCGGCCGGTCCACCAGTCCCAGGTCCGGAACCCAGGAGGATTCGGCTCTCGCTCCCGAGGGCGTATGACGGAACAGCTGCCGGGTGTCAGGGGTTCCTCCTGCAGGTGGAGCTCTACCTGGCCACTGTACACCCGGTGCCCTCGGGGACATGAGAGCGTTTCCGCCCTCATCTCCTGTCTCACGGGCAAGGCATTGGAGTGGGCTAACGCTGAGTGGAGGAAGATGGACGCCAATACCATCTCCTACGCCGAGTTCTCCCGTCGCTTCAAGGCCGTGTTCGACCATCCACCTGAGGGCAAAGCGGCGGGGGAGCGTCTAGTCCACCTGAGACAGGAGGAGCGCACAGGCGTTTGCTCTAGAGTTCCGGACTCTAGCGGCGGACGCAGGGTGGAATGAACGGGCCCTCATCGACCATTTTCGATGTAGCCTACGGGAGGACGTTCAACGTGAGTTTGGCCTGCAGGGATACCCATCTTACCTTCGACCAGTTGGTCGATATCTCCATCCGTCTGGACACCCTGCTGGCCACCCGTGGACGTCCTGAGGGGGGTCCGTCCATTCCGCCCTCCGGCACCTCCGAGCCGAGCCCTATGGAGCTCGGGGGTGCCGGCGCTAGAGAAAGGAGGAGGAGGAGCCCGAGGGGGCCTGTCTCCTGCACCAAGTGCGGTCGTGGAGGGCACACTGCGGCCAGGTGCTGGGGAGGGTTCTCCGGGGGAGAAGACAACAGGCCACGCACTGGGGGGACCTCCCAGGTGAGTAGACGTCCCACTTACCCAGAGCTTTCTGTTGCACACTTTTGTCTACCTGTTGTTTTCCACAGGTTGCACCTCATTCCCAGCATAAGGCGCTAGTAGATTCAGGCGCAGCTTGGAATTTTGTTGATCGGAAGTTTTGTTTAGATTTAGGGATCCCTCTCCTACCTGTTGACAAAACCTTTTCCCGTTCATGCCTTAGATAGCCGCCCGCTGGGGTCGGGGTTGATTAGGGAGATCACAGCGCACTTAGGATGTGTGCGGCAGGGGGGTCATGAAGAGACTATACAGCTGTATCTGATCGACTCTCCTGCGTACCCAGTGGTTGCTGGGAATTCCCTGGTTAAGCACCCATAACCCTGCTATTTTCGTGGCAACAGAGGGCTCTCGATGGGTGGTCTGCTCAGTGCGAGGGGCGATGTCTGGGTGTTTCCGTGGGGGCGACTTCGGTGGAAAGTCCAAACCAAGTGCCCGCACTGCACATTCCGCCTGAATATGGGGATTTAGCTCTCGTGTTTAGTAAAACTAGGGGCGACGCAGTTGCCTCCTCATAGACAGGGGGATTGTGCGATTGATCTCCAGGCAGGAGCAGCGCTCCCACGGAGCCAGTGTATCCTTTGTCTCAAGAGGAGAGAAAAGCTATGGAGACTTACATAGCCGAATCTTTGAGACAGGGATACATTCGGCCCCTCCACTCTCCCGCCTCCTCGAGCTTCTTTTTTGTGAAGAAGAAAGATGGAGGGTTGCGCCCGGTGCATTGATTACCGTGGTCTCAATCAGATTACTGTGAAGTACAGTTATCCACTCCCTCTGATTGCGACCATGACGGAGTCATTGCATGGAGCGCGGTTTTTCACAAAATTGGATCTCAGGAGCGCGTATAACTTGGTGCGCATTAGGGAGGGCGATGAAATGGAAGACCAGCGTTTAGTACCACGTCAAGGTCATTTCGAGTATCTGGTCATGCCATATGGGTTTGATGAATGCTCCATCAGTCTTCCAATCCTTCGTAGATGACATTTTCCGGGATATGCAGGGACAAGGGGTGGTCGTGTACATTGATGATATTCTGGTTGTACTCGTCTACCCGAGCCGAGCATGTAACCCTGGTGCGTCGTGTATTGAGGAGGCTGTTGGAGCACGACCTATATGTCAAGGCAGAGAAATGTCTGTTTTTCCAGGAGTCGGTCTCCTTTTTGGGTTATCGGTTGTCCGCGTCAGGGGTGAGAATGGAGGTGGATCGTGTGTCCCGCTGTGCGTAATTGGCAAACCCCAAACCACTGTAAAAGAGTTGCAGCAGTCTCTTGGGCTTTTCGAATTACTACCGGAGGTTTATCCGGGGTTTTTGGGACAGGTGGCAGCTCCCATCACGTCCCTTCTGAAAGGGGTCCGGTGCGCCTGCAGTGGTCAGCTGAGGCGGACAGGGCCTTTGGGAGACTGGAAGGACCTGTTTACGTCGGCTCCGGTGCTGGCGCAATCCGGATCCCGCATTACCCTTTCAGGTCGAGGTGGACGCGTCTGAGGCAGGTATAGGGGCCGTTCTCTCTCAACGGTCCGGCACGCCACCCTAAAACTCCGCCCCTGTGCTTTTTACTCTAAAAAGCTCAGCCCCGGCGGAGCGTAACTATGACGTTGGGGACAGGGAGCTGTTAGCTGTAGTTCAAGCCCTTAAGGTGTGGAGGCATTGGCTTGAGGGGGCTCAACACCCTTTTCCTCATTTGAATGACCATCGGAACCTGGAGTACATCCGGGCAGCAGGAGACTGAACCCCTGCCAGGCTCGATTGAGTATGTTTCTCACCAGGTTCGTATTTAAAAATCACGTACATCCCTGGGTCCCAGAATGGTAAGGCAGATGCGCTGTCCCGCGGTAGGACACGGAGAAGGTCCGTTGAGCCTACTCCCATACTAACCGGAGTCTTGCCTTGTGGCACCGGTGGTGTGGGGAGGTCGATGCCGAAAATCGAGCGAGCGTTGCGTACCGACCCCAGCCCTCCACAGTGTCCTGAGGGTCGGAAGTACTTCCGCTCGAGATTCGGGATCGACTCATTTACTGGGCTCACACGTCACCCTCCTCTGGAATCAGGGTATTGGACCCGGAACAGTGCATTCCTAGCCAATAAATATGGTGGCCTACTTTGGCTAGGGATGAGAGGGTGTATGTCTCCTTCCAGCTCGGTGTGCGCCAAGTTGTAAGGAGCCCCGCCCCGACATATGACAAGGGGTAAGTTACAACCCTGCCCGTTCAACAAAAGACCATCCCGGTCCCACCTCTCGGGGATTTTGTGACAGACCTTCCCTCTCTCAGGGGAACACCACCATCCTGCGTTGTGGAACGGTTCTCTAAGGGCTGTCGTCTCTTCTCCCTAGTCGGGGTCTTCCTACGCCCCTACAGACCGCTGAGCCCTATTTAAAAAAAAGCCACCAGTCCTCACATACGCACAACACGACTTCGGCCGCTCCCATTGCCGGGGCGTGTGGTGCGTAACCGGGCTGTAAGTAAGGTACGAGCGTGGGCGTTGGGTACGTTTAGCCGCCGCGATTGGACTGGTGAGTTCGGCCCAGGGAGGAGGGGGGGGGGGAGTGACCCCTCGACTAGTCTGGGCCCAGGAAGGAGGTATCCCTCCGCCGCGTCGGGAACCACACGACTCTCTCGATATGTCCCCGTACTCCTTCCCCTAGCTTGCAGGTCGGAAGGCACGGTGTACTAGTCTGAGTGGGTTTCGTTCAGGGATCACCCGAGCCCCCCACGTGTTTTCCGGGCCAGCGGTGAGACAGGCGGTGGGCTGATTGCCATCCTCAAGGCGGTATGGGAGCGGTCGTCGCGTTGTTCTCCCCCCCTGCGCTGCCCCTAGGGGGGGTGCGCTCGCGAAGTCTTGTGAGCCCGTCCCCACTCCACCCCCCACATTGTGATCCCCCATCCCTCCACATCCCCACCACAAGAAGACTCCGACTGCGCGGGGGACCTAACTATCCGCCGCGACAGTGGCTGCCCGCTGCTCTCCCTTGCGAAGGTTCGCTTAGGTCGCCGCCCGCAGCTCCCCCACTCAGAAGCCGTGCCGATGCTCTTTGTAATGCCACCGCCCCTACCACTCCGGAGCGTGCTCGTCCCCAGCTTCCAGGCTGACGACGCCACTCCCCGCTCGGAGATCTTCTTCCTCCACGTTTACCCCCTTCCGCTCGGTCTCCTCCTTTCCCGGTGCCAGGTCGTCGGTGGGGCGGTTCCAGCCAGTTGCATCGGAGACCGAGCGTCCGAGTGACGTGCCGTAGAGAGCCAAACCCCCTACCCCCCCACAGCATGGTCCGCCATGATCACGCTCTGGTCCCTTGGCGTAGACAGTTTGCCGCCCCGGGGAAGCCAACTGCAGACCACCGTTTGTCTCCTGGGCGGCTTGCCGGGGCACTGGTGCCCAGGCGAGTCAGCTGGTCGCGTACGTGGTCCGAGCCTGCTCGGGCTCGGCTGATACTACCCCGTCCACCCCCGTCGTACCGTAGCAACCCGTGCGTTACGCATACAGCTGAGCCTCGTCAGGACGACCACCCCTGTAACTCGCGGGTGTCCGACCCTCCTCGATCCGGAGCCCCCCTGCGTTCCGCCGGTAAGCATACCCCCGCGAGTCGGGCCTCCCGGACTGTTGAACGTGACCTGCACGCTGATCGTCTGCGCGCACCCCTAGATGCCACTCTTCCGCTCGATTGCGTTTCCACTGGGTGGTTCCCCTCTTGGTAACGAACCCAATCCCCCTTCTTATCCTCTTATGTGATCCTGCGGTGGCGCCCCCCGTCTTTTTTGCTGTGGCCGTGTCCCCGCGAGGGGGGCACCCGATTCCCACCGCCGGACTCGGGGCTAATGCGATCGCATGGTGGGAGTTGTGATCTTACCCAGCGGCCGCCCGGCACGCGACGAGCGCCTACCCGCGACCCCCACGGAGTATCCCCGAACCAGGCGCAGCTACATGTCACCGACCGTGTGCACGAACACTGCTTCAGCTCGAGTCCGCCGTGTGGCTTCGGTAAGTGTCGTTGTGAACGCGTTGCGTATCATAGTTGCCGACCACGGCGACGTCGTTGGCGGAGTTCCACACCCTACCCCAAATCTGCCGTGGGCAGAAGTCTCTCCTGGCGGCGCGCAGTTACGCTGGTGCCGTCGCCGATGAATTGTCCAGCGGATCGCGCCCGTCCCTGGAGGGGGGACCTCCCTCTGCAATCCCTTGAGCTCGTGGCACGCTTGCCCGGGGCCCATGACGGGATAGGCGGACGTCTCTTTGCTCACATCGCCGATCCTTCTCGGCCACGCAGTGTGCCACGGCTCCCCCGCTTGTGAGTTTTGCTTGCTCAACCGAGGTGTGGCAAGCTTAACTTTGTTGGTTCGCCCGTTCATGCTATGGTGCCTTCCTGGCTGAGCTGTCGCGGGCCATATGGGCACTTTTTGAGCGAGATTACGTTCGTTATTTTTCATCTCTCCGGCTTACGGGTGTGCCCGAGGATATGGTCTGAATCGAGAGGACCCAAGTTACCCTCCCGTGTTTGGAGAGCGTTCATGGAGCGTTTTGGGGTCTCGGTTAGCATTACCCTCAGGGTACCACCCGGAGAGGGGGTGGAAAAGTAACGGGAAGGTAGACGTGTAAACCAGGATGTGGTAGGTTTCTGAGGTCGTATTCGCCAGGACCGGCACTGAGGAGGGGAACGGTACATCCCTGGCCGAGAGGCCCAGAACTCTATCCGCCACTCCTCTACCAACCTAAACCCCTTCCAATGTGTATTCGGTTACCAGCCGTTTCTGGCACCGTGGACGCAGAGCAGATCGAGGCCCCTGCGGTGGATGATTGGATGAGGCCGTCGGAAGAGACGTGGAAACGCTGCCCACGTCCACCTGCCAGCGGGCCGTCATTCGTCACAAGGCGAGCCGCCGCCGATCTCAAACACCCGCATTGGAGGGGCCGGGCCGGTGGTACGCACCGGAGATCGAAGTTCTGGCTCTCTCCAAGAAACCTACCCCTCCGGTGCCTGCCCTGACGAAGCTGGGGCGGCGGTTGTGGGGCCCCTGTAAAGTCATGAGAGATTGAACGAGTGTGTTTTGTTATAGGTACATCTACTGTTGAGTATAAGACATCTAACCCCTGTTCCATGTGTTCTTCTCAGGCGTGTGGTAGCTGGTCCACTCCAGGACAATGAGATAGGAGAGACTCCTCCGCCCCCACTGGACATCGAGGGGGGGGCTCCGGCGTACAACGGTCAGTCCAATTCTTGACTCCAGGACGCGGATGGGGGGGTCTCCAGTCACTGTGGCAGTTGGGAGGGGTACGGCCCGGAGGAGCGGTGCTGGGTTTGCCGCGGAGGGGACCATCCTAGGTAGACCCATCTCTACTGTCGGAGTTCCACCGGGACATCCCGCGCGCCATGCCCGGCCTCTGGTCGTCCCCGAGGCCGGGGTCGAGCGCACGGCTGGGCCGCGCGTCAAAAGGGGGGGTACTGTTCACGGTTTTGGCCGAGGCTGCTCCTCTCTGTTGGGCAGGCTCGGCGGTCGTCGTCCCCGGAGTACTAGCTGCCAGCGATCTATGGTTATGTTTGTTTGGTTTGGTCTTGTGATGTTCTGTACACATGTGTCTTGTTAGTCCCTCGTTATTGTCTTATTTTAGGTCTCGTTGGTTGTTGTGTTTGTCGTTGTGTGTGATTTGCTCTTCTGTTTTCGTTGTTGTGGAGCTACGTACTTCCCCTCCAGTGTTTTGGAGAGGTTTTTCGGCACAGTTAGTGCGACCGTTATTTGAGCCTGTGTGCGCCGTGATTTCGACTGTTCAGGCTATTGGGCTTATTTATCTTACGTGAATATTGCACTAAAGTCTTTGGACTGAGCCTGCGTCCTGCGCTTGATTCATGCACACAACCCAACATTCAGCACCTGGACAGTGCAAAATAATTACCAATTAGTATTAACCACGGAATTGCTAGATGTGCACGAGATGATGTGCAACTAGAGATACTGGAGGTGCAAAAGAGCAAAATAATAAACACTATATGGATTGAGGTAGTTGGGTGGGCTAATTTCAGAGGGGCTGGTACAGGTGCAGTGATCGGTAAGGTGCTCTGAAATTGGAGTGAACCAACTTTAGGGAGGAAATGGAAACATGTTAAAAGATGTTTTACCTCAGAAACAGCAAAGGCTGATCATAGATGATAGTAATCTGTACAACTTGATTATTTTACTCACGGTTGGATCAGTCATGGAGGGGATTACGATGCTTTTGAGGGCCAGGTCTGCAGGTTCTTTAAGGCTCTGAAAGACGTGGCATTGACCCTTTGTGATTGTAGATGGGGGCTCTGACTACACCGAAAAAAAAGTTTGAAAACTCTCAAAAAACGAGCTCAATCAAGGATCAACAACCAGCCAACAGCTTGTCCATGGAACTTCAGGTGAGCGGTGTACTACCAACCCTCATCAAACATGTCTTCAAACAGGTCCTCTCCAGCCTGAAGGTCCCTTTCGCACAGTGCATTTGTGAGGCAGCCCAAAGAAAATAGCCTCCCTGGCTCGAAGGGAACTGTCCAGTGCTGACCAATGACAGTGACTTTTATATCTTTGACATCCAGTCAGGATGTCTGCCCTCTCCCATTTTCACTAGCAGAAAGTGTCTTGAAACGTGGGAGCTCTATAAGTCCATTCCCTGCAAGCACTACACCACAAAAAGCCTTCTGTAGACATTCAACATCAACAGACAGGTTCTCCCAGTCTTCGCCGCCGTGGCAGGAAACGACTACGTCAAGTTGCAAAAACATGGGCGTTTCCCTCAGGTGGGAAAAATATCGTCGATGGAAGGAAGGTTTGCCCGCTTCGACAGCTTGCTGAATTGGCTGGCCCGTTTCCCGGGGGGCAGAAGGAGGCCTTGGACTCTGTCTCAGGCTTATCTTTCATGGAACAACAAACAGAAAATGGACGCTGCCCTCCAGGCCCTTTCCCCTGGGCATAGAAGAGTACCATCTTCCCCCTGGTTGCCTGGAGCGGTTCTTCAACGTGGATGGGACCAGGCCCCAGCCATCTCGCAAGCCTCTGAGGGTCCTTCCAGACTGGACTCTGCTGCCGTTGATGAAAGGTGCTCTTCCCTCCCGCATGGGGGGGACGTGCTGCTGCTGAGGAGGTGATGCACAGTGTCAGGTGGAAGATCCCCGCTGACCCAGTGGGAACAACACTTCACGGCCATACGCCAGGTACTCTATGGGCTGCTGCGGGGTGGGAGGGGGCCAGAACAGCAGTCAGAGACCCCAGTGGATGACGTGGAGGAGTATTACAGGGAAGGCAATAACCTGACCAGCACATGGTTGAAGCCACCCTGCCCAGTGCTGCAAAAACAGCTGCAGCTAGACACTCTGGATCAGGTATGTATACATGTGTATGAGATAGTATACATACATTCAAACATACTGCTGTTGATTCTGAAAATGATTCATTCTCTTGCTCTGTTCCTTTAGGCTCCAAGGTCATGCAGCTTGAGGTGTTTTGGAGACCTTGGTGTGTCCCAGTCCACTTTGAGCGTGTCCTGCCTCATCTGCGTCTTCCTGTGGCTGTCCCCTGCACGGTTGAGGCACGCCCATCCTCGACCAGAACTGCCTCTCCTGCGGGCCCCTGGCTATTAGGATTGGTGTACGGAGAGCTCTGCAGACAGAGGGAAGAGCCAAAGAGGTATGGCCCAGAGCATGAATGAGAAAAAACACACAATTTAGAATTTATAAATATTGAAGTGTGTGAAGTGCACCCCACTGACCCAGTGTTGGAGAGGCTGAGAGGGTTTGATTCAGAGAGGTGCAAGGAGCCTAGCCCTGGGTGTAGCCCACGCCTACAGCCAATGGCAGTGCTGCCTGAGAGAAGTCTTGACCTGAACCAACTGCTGTGCCTCCCTCTAGCTGAGCCTCAGTGTGCCTGGTAAGGTGTCCCTTCCTAAATCAACCCTTGCCCCTAAACCGCCCAGGGTATTCATTACTTGTATTCAGCCCAAGAAAAAGCAAATTTAACCTTTTTTTTTTTCCCCCCCGGGGGGGGTTCTGGGTGTAAAAGGGGCACTCTGGTGACCAGCTTGTGCCCAAAAATGAGGGGGGGTTAACACCGGTTTCTCCCTGAGGGAGGCCCTGCTCTGGGCAGTGTATATGGCCATGTGGGACCATACTAAACCCCCCTGATGCCGTGGGGCTGCTGTCACCCCCTTGGGTCGGGGCCTTGGGGAGGGCCTCACCTCCATCCTTGCACACCAGGGGAACCTAAAAACCCATCTACACATTCGGCTCGGGAAAGAAGATGATATGAGGGTGTGGAGGGGGAAAGGCCAAGAAGGGGACAATCTGGGTTGGATTTGGGGTTAGTGCAACCCCCACAAAAAAAAGACAGTTTCAACGAGCTCGGAACCGAATTCCCCGGAAGCGGGCGGATGGGCGGGGAAAAAGGGGGGGGGTCACTATATAACGTTTTTCTAGAGAGTTCTGCTCTCCTTCATTTTTTATTGTTTTATTGAAACCTTTTAAAACTTAATTTCTTGTTTTTAGCATGAACTAAAAAAAGGTAAAAAAAGATAGATTGATTTTATAAATGATAGAAATAAAATCTTTAATATAAAACAAAAAAAAAGTTATGATAAATTTGACTTTTTTAATTGGTTTTTTTCTTTGCCCCTCTACTGTAAAGCGATTTTGGTCTTGAAATCTGTAAAACCCCATTTTTTTGTTACAATTACATTACTGCTGCTTGGGGCAGCGTGTATGCCAGTTTTAACTAGCCCGCGGTGCTGCGGGGTGAAAACAAGCTTCCCATTCTTTTTAAAAGGGAAGGAAAAGGGGGGGGCGAGAAGCGGGAGGGGGGGGGACCTTTGGGCGGCCGAAGGTGGCGGGGGAGGATGAAAAAGTTAAACTTTTCCCCAATTTGATAAAACCCAAAACGGGCCACGGGCGATGACCAATCATATCGAGGGGTTCCCCATAACAAATTTTGACGCCATGTTACCCAGGACTGGAGACTTTCTTCAGCAAAGATGGCGGAAAAAATAGTAGGATGGAGCAAATGTAAGTAATTATAACGTCATAACGAATCATGCAAAACATGGTTTTTCAGTTGAGAAGGGAATATGTTAGTTAATGTATGACAAACTATTATGCATATTTTTTTTTAAAGTTAATTTACGAAAATCGCAATTAGCTGGCTAGCTTCATTGGCGTGTGACATGAGTATGAAACAACCAGCAAACTAGGCTGTCGTCTTGTGAACAGTAGCTAGATGTAAAGAATCTAGCTAGCGAAAGCATTACTTCAAATTGAATGTACCATTTTGTAAGTTGCCATCCTGATATTTTGCTATGCAATGCAGCTGAAGTAACGTAGCTATCAAACTATTTTCATGTTATTGTGCAGTTGAGGATAAAAATACCTGTATGCCTATGGAATGTATAGCTAGCTATGTAGCCGATCGTGTATGGACCCTAAAACGTTGGTGTAAATATTAGTTGAACATAGCTATGAACCTCAGCTATCATAGCCGGTGTTACAACAGTCTGAATACATTAATGAAGCCTGTGGATTGGAGTAGAAATATAACTTTGTGCCAAGGATGCAAGTCGTATAACAGTAGTTATTACCATGTATGAGATCCCCACATTGTAGCAGTACATTGAATATATTCACTGATCATGTACTCTGACCTTGGCAAATAAATGTGCAGTTCGGGTATGATGTCTGTGAGACATTATTTTTCAGTCATACCAATACTAGGAGTATCAAACTCCAGTCTTTTTTAATTAACACTTTGGTCTGCATGTATGTATTAACAATTATACACTCAACAGTGTTTACCAATCCTGGTCCTGGGACATAAATGGTTACACATTAACTATGTAATAGACCACAACATGATTTAACTAGTTAAAGGCTGATTTGTAATAGATATATACAGAAACAGAATTTAAAAACAGTACACTACACTTCCTATGCATCATGTAAATACTCTAAAACCGGTTCATCTCACTATCTAATTTCCTTCAATCTGCATTGATCTGAGGACACAGGATAGGTGTAGTATTTCATCAAATGACACTTAATTTCAACCAGTAGAGAATGTGACACGCTTTATTGAAATAAGTTAATTATCCAAGTGTTATAAATACATAATATAAATATTATAATATAAATATTATATTCTAAATACAAGTTCAATCTGTACTTCAATGCACATCTGGTGTGCATTATAAAAAAACAGAGGAAGAAAGAGGAGGTGGGTAGAGAGGTGTAAGAAAAAAGTGTAAAAGACAGAAGGGAAAGAGGTAAGAACAGAGGAGCAGGGAAGGCAGCAATGATTAATGAATTACAGTGCTACCCTAATATTCTCTCAGTTCATCACAATACATAATAGTGTCTCTAGCGGTGTCTCCTAACAGCCTGCATTCTAGCTTGTCCTCCATTGCTACTAGTAACGTTACTTGTATTGCTGGCATCAACGGTATGTTTCGCTTGTAAATGATAACGAAGACTCGATGTACTTCGGTAATAAACAAATTCAGCCTTGCAGTAGATGCAAATTACTTTTGGTTTTATCCAGAGAGCTATCTGGGAGGGATTTGAAATTGAATTTGCAATTTAAAAGCCCCTTATTAGCATTCTGCATCATTCAGTCATACAAGTAGCTAGCTAGTAAGTGGTTGTCAAAACTAGTGCATCGGCTGGGGACTTGAATTTGAACTATGGATGGTTCAGAGGGTCAAACTAAGAAAATGCGTTAATGGTGTCAAAAAAAATGTAAGCATTAAGGCGTTATTAACGCCTTAACTATGACAGCCCTAATTGAAAACATTAACATGTAGTGTGTGTGTGCATCTATCAGTTACAGTGCATTCGGAAAGTATTCAGACCCCTTCACTTTTTCTACATTTTTACAGCCTATTCTAAAATTGATTAAATAAAACATTTTCCTCATCATCTACACACAATACCTCATAATGACAAAGCGAAAACAGGTTTTTTAGACAATTTGCAAAAAACAGAAATACCTTATTTACATAAGTATTCAGAACTTTGCTATGAGACATGAAATTGAGCTCAGGTGCATCCTGTTTCCATTGATCATCCTTGAGATGTTTCTACAACTTGATTGGAGTCCACCAGTGGTTTAATTCAATTTATTGACATGATTTGGAAAGGCACACACCTGTCTATACAGGTCAGTTGACAGTGCAGTTAGAGCAAAAACCAAACCAAGGAATTGTCTGTATAGCTCCGAGACAGGATTGTGTTGAGGCACAGATTGGGGAAAGTACCAAAAAATGTCTGCAGCATTGAAGGTCCCAAGAACATAGTGGCCTCCATCATTCTTAAATGGAAGAAGTTTGGAACCACCAAGACTCTCCTAGAGCTGGCCGCCTGGCCAAACTGAGCAATCGGGGGGGAAGGGGGCCTTGGTCAGGGAGGTGACCAAGAACCTGATGGTCACTCTGACAGAGCTCTAGAGTTCCTCTGTGGAGAGGGAGAACCTTCCAGAAGGACAACCATCTCTACAGCACTCCACCAATCATGCCTTTATGGTAGAGTGGCCAGACGGAAGCCACTCCTCAGTAAAAGGCACATGACAGCCTGCTTTGAGTTTGCCAAAAGGCACCTAAAGGACTCTCAGACCATGAGAAACAAGATTCTCGGGTCTGATGAAACCAAGATTGAACTCTTTTGCCTGAATGCCAAGCGTCACATCTGGACAAAACCAGGGCACCACTCATCTCCTGGCCAATACCATCCCTATGGTGAAGCATGGTGGTGGCAGAATCATGCTGTGGGGATGTTTTTCAGCGGCAGGGGCGGGAGACTATCAGTATGCGAGGGAAAGATGAACGGAGCAAAGTACAGAGAGATCCTTGTTGAAAACCTGCTCCAGAGCGCTCAGGACCTCAGACTGGGGTGAAGGTTCACCTTCCAACAGGATAACGATCCTAAGCTCACAGCCAAGACAACGCAGGAGTGGCTTCAGGACAAGTCTTTGAATGTCCTTGAGTGGCCCAGCCAGGGCCCGGACTTGAACTGAGCAGCAGTGCAGCAGTAATATAATAGTAAGAATAGATGGGATTTATATAGCTATCTTCAAAGACCAAAAGACAGTACAGTAAAGAGCAAAGAAAAAAACAGTCAAACTGATCATAACTTTTGATATTTATATATATATATATTAAAAGCTTTTCCATCTCATCATTAATAGAATCTACATAGTTCATGCTAAAAACAATGTCAATTAAGTCATAAAAGGTAAAAAAATAAGAAAACAATAAAAATATGAAAGAGTTGAGCAGAGCGTCTCTAGAACTAAACAGTTATATAGTGACCCCTCCCTATTCCAGCCGATCCGCCCTGCTTCCGGGAGAATTCTGGATTCCGAGCTCTGTTGAATCTGTCCTTTTTCTTGTGGCGGGTCTGCACTGTGACCAACGTCCAATCCAGATCGTCCTCTGGCATGGCCTTCCTCCCTCCTGCAGCACCATCATCATCATCTTCTTCTAGAGCCAGAATGAGTAGACGGGACGTCAGGTCGTCCAGTGGCTGTGACAAGGATGGAGGTGTGGCCCGCCGCGTCCCAGACACCAAGGGATGACAGCAGCCTCATGAGCATCATGGGAGTTGAGTATGGCTCCCAGCATGGCCCTATACAGCTGCCCAGAGCAAGGGCCTAACATCAGGAGAGAATCTGGGGTTAACCCCCTCTCAGTTTGGTCACAAGCTGGTGCACCAGAGTGCCCTTGTACAGCCTAGACACCACCAGGGAAACAAAATATGGTTTAATTAGTTGTGTTTGCTGCTAGGCTCGAATAAAATGTCAATGAATACCACTGGTCTAGGTTTAGGGGCAAGGGTTGATTTAGGAAGGGACACCTTACAGGCACACTGAGGCTCGGCTAGAGGGAGGTACAGCAGTTGGTTCAGGTCAAGACTTTCTCTCAGGCGCACTGCCATTGGCTGTAGGCGTGGGCTACACCCAGGTCTAGGCTCCTTGCACCTCTCTGAATCAGCCCTCTCAAGCCTCTCCAACACTGGTCCCTCCATAAACCCTGTTACAACAAAAAAGGGAGGAGTCAGTGGCTGCACTTCAAAACCCTTCAATATTTCTAAATTCTAAATTGTGTGTTTTTCTCATTCATGCTCTGGGTCATACCTCTTTGGCTCTTCCTCTGTCTGCAGAGCTCTCCGTACACCAATCCTAATAGCAGGGCCTGCAGGAGAGGCAGTTCTGGTCGAGGATGGGCGTGC